CAAAGAGTGGACAGTATGCCCGGCAGCCGCCAGCCTGGTGGCCAGGGCCCAGAGACTTCCAGAGGAAGTGACCCTTGATCTGAGTGCTGAGGACAGGCAAGGACTTGGAAAGGGAGGAGGAGGCAAGGGCATCCCTGAGAGGCACCAGCGTGCATGTTGCAGCCGGCAGGAGGAGGAGCCCTTCCCTGCAGAAGGCCCACCCCAAGGGTGGCTCCAGCTTCACGAGGCCTCTTACTGGGCTGTTTCTGCCCAGTGTAACACCACAAACCTGTAATCCCAGCATTCTGGAGGCTGAGGCAGGATTGCTAAGTTTGAGGCTAGCCAGGGCTACTAATCAGGACTTTGTCTCAAAAAATTGATCAAATAAACAAAAAATGGTTCCTGAATTTTCCAGTTTAGAACTCAGCCCTGAATTCACAGTGAGCCCAAGGTGGCATATACCATACACAGACAGGTTTAATAGTAGTTTGTCCAGAAGTACAAAGTAATCCTTTTGTATGTGTAAAACACTTTATTTTTATTTTTATTAGTGTATGTTTGTCGTCCATAACCATATTCTTCCCTGGGAGCTGGCTCATGTACATAACAAGTCTGTATTTTTACACAGTAACTTTAAAGTCATGCATTACCCAGCTTCCCGATGCAGTCATACACGACTTCATGTACCTCACACTTCTTGAGGGTGCAATCCACGACCAGCTCCTCCAAGGCGGGACCATCATGGCAGAGGGCATGGGGGGCGGGGCAGAACGGCCCGTCTCATGTCACCTGGGAAACAGGAGGGGAAGAGCCAGGGAGAAAGAGGCCGAGGACCAGACACTATCTGCAAGGTGACAGCCCCCAAGTCCCCCAGACATACTCAGAAGTGTCCCTGGGTGTCTCTCAGGCTGGTTGAGTTGACGATTGAGATTAAGCCTTGTAGGCTGGTCCCCGAACTTCCCTCTTCCTGCAGCTCATGGGGTGTGCTGCACTGGTTAGTGTTACCTTTATAGACAAATAGGGGTAAAAACATCATAAAAACATGCTTTTCAGTTGAATTTTTGTGTGTATGTGCCAGGAATTGTACTTATAACCTCCCACTTGTCAGACAGGTGCTGCGCCACTAAACTGTATCCCCAGCCCCTCTGTTCCAATGTGTTGTCGATTTTGAGGCATCACTGCTTGTGATATAGTTCAGGCTCGCCTTGGACTGGACCCAGAGCCTTCACATGTATGAGCTATACTTCTAGACCCTCACTCTTTTTTTTTTTTTTTTTAATTTTGGGACAGGGCCAGGTATGGTGGTATACACCTGTAACTCAGCACTCAGGAGACTGAGGCAAAGGATGGCTGTGAGTTCAAGGTCAGCCACAACTACATAGTGAGACAACCAAAAAAAATAATTTTTTTTTTCACAACAGGTCTCACTGAACTGCCCAGGCTGGGCACAATCTCACCATCCTCCTACCCTGGCCCCAGAAGTGCTGGGATTACAGGTGTGTCCACTACACCTGGTTTGTACTACATGTGGCCCTCACCTTCCACCCAGTTTTGAGTCTCTGAGAGAAAGGCATCTCCTGCTGCTGCTGGCCCTGCCCAAGGCTGTGCTTCTGCAGCTGTAGGAAAGCTGCGCCCTCCTGGGCAGCCTCCTCCTGGGGGCCTGGCTGAAGTCCCTCTTCCCACACCTGCTGGCTTTTTTGCTCAGCTTCCCTTGAACCACCGAGTCCTCCTGCACCGGCTCTGCTTTTATTCCTGTGCTGTTCCTAGTTTGTCCTGATGCTTGTCCTGCTGGGACCGGCTTTTAAAAAAAAAAAAAAAAAAAATCTTGGCCCCATATTTTGGCTAGAGATTTCCATTCATATTTCTGGCAGTGATTCCTACATGTCCCAAAAGACTGAGCTTGACATCAGAAGGCAAGCCCAGGGTGGCATCATCTGCCTTTGTTCTGTCATTTGCAGGCACGGCACAGCTCTATCCACTCTTTAAGTTTTGCTCACCAAAATTGAGGTGTGTTTGTGATTTGTGGGTTTTCCAAGAATACAGCAAGAACGCTTAAGGCTTTGACTGAGTGAGCAAGCAGAGGCCCGGAGGGCTGAGACCCGAGGCCGTGCGTGACTCACCTTCAAATTGGCAGCCTCCTTGCAGAGGAGCTGTTCGCTTTTCTCATCTTTAAAGTATGCTAGACTCAGCTACTCTTACTCAAGACCTCTCAAAAATTAGAAAGAAAAGGCCCAGTGACTTCACTGATCCTCGGGCCACAGGTTCTCAGGGGATGGTGAATTTTACAATGGTTTCTCCAGCCCTTCCCAATTCTGGGACAAAATGCTTCCTCACATGCACAAGCTATGGGTCAATGGAGTTACTCAGGCTCACAGGTTCCAGACGTTTCTGCCTGTGGGCAGCTGGCCCAAGACAAGACACCAGGATGGGAGAGCCCTGAAATACAGTGTTGCAGGGACAGAGAGCCTGAGAGGAGGGCAGACACCATCCTCAGGGTACAGCCCGTGACCCTGGACACCCAGAGCCAGGTTTCCTGATGTTCTAGACCTTCTTCAGGTTATCAAGTGTCAGTGAGCGATAGCAGTCACTTTAGTCTTCCCTGGGCCACAAGAAGCCAAGTAATGCAACCAGGTGACAGGGACATGGCTGAATCCAGCCCCACTGTGCCTACCCAGCTTAGGGGAAGTTTCTCTGACTCAGACATCCTGCTACTATTTTGTATGTATGTATGTATGTATGTATGTGTAAATGTATGTATTTATTTATTGCTTTTTTGTGTTTTTAGTGCATGGGCTACAGATGACTTGTAGTGATCCTCCTGTTTTCAGTCTCCCAAGTGCTGGGATTACAGGCGCGTGCCACCATTCCCAGTCTCAGTTACCATCTTAGTGTGCTCCCAGGGGCAGGGCCAGCATAGTTTGCGGTGCCTGGGATCGAACCCTGATCCCTGTGCTCTGCCTAAGCAGGTGCTTTAGTCCGCTGAGCTATCTGGCTGGCCTTACTTACTGCCTTCTTGAGACAGGGTATCCATATGCAATTCAGGCTGGCTTTGAACTCACTTTGCTGCCCAGGCTGGCCCCTAACTTGTGGCGATCCTCCTGACTCAGCTTTCTGAGTGGTGGGATTACAGGTGTGTACCACCATGCCTGGTATTCCTACTGCTACAGAAATAAGTGTTATTCCTCTCATGATGACTTTTCTACAAACTGGCATATATGCCCAGCCCGTCTGGTCCCAGGGGATAAAGTTTGTGTTCTGGGAAATTAGAGTGTTCCAAATAGGTTCTCAGGAGGGTCTACTGCGCAGAACCTGAATGCTTGCTCTGTATGGGTCTGACCACCTCCCAATTTAAAGTGTGCATAGTGGCACATGCTTATAATCCCAGCACTTGGCAGGCTGAGGCAGGAGTCTTGCCATGAATTCTAGCCAGTTTGAAATACACAGGGAGGCAGCTCAAAAAAACCAAACCAACCTAACAAACAAAAACCAGAACTCCCTGCAAGTCTAACAAGAACATCTTAAGGCAAAGGCTGGCTTCTCACTTGTCTTGAAGCAACAGGAGTCTTTTTTGGGGTCCTGCTCAGGAATTCCATCCACCACCCCACCTTCCTCAGGAAGTCTCCACGTCCAGGCTTACTCCACTAGGAACACTGCGCAAGCATGCAACCTAGCGTTTGCACAGTTTCTCAAGCATCTCATCCTATTTTATTTTATATTTTGGAGACAGGGTCCGGCTGTGTAGTCCGAAATAACGTGTATTTGTAGCCTAGGCCAGACTCAAATTCTCCTGCCTCAAAGCCAACCTCCTACCTCAGTTTGGCGGTAATTTAAAGCGTATTTTACTCCACCTAGACAGCTTTCTTTTGTATTCTTTCGGGCCTCCCCACTTCCTAGCACCCTGCGCGGGGCTCCCTACGGGGGCTGTGAATAGAGTAAAATCACCCGGGTGTGGGGTCACCACCCGACCCTTTGCCGGGCAGCTGGAGACACAGGTGTGGGTGGGTGGCTGGGGCTCTCCCAGCGTGACAGGAGAGGCACGAAGTCGGCTAATTGTCCTCAGGTATCCAGGACATAAGCTCCAGCGTCGCACCGGGCTCAGGGAGGCAGCGACGGGATCCGGCGCCTTCGGGGACATTCAGGGATCCCGGCGCCCCGGGAGCCTGCCCAAGCGACGCGCGGCACTACGCGGCCTCTCAGGCTCCGGTGTCAGGCACCGCCGGGCCTCGCGCGGGACTGTCCCGGCCGTGTCGCCCGGGAGTCTCAGGGATGCCCGGTGCCCGCCCCCACGTGGCCCCGGGCGGCTCGGAGGACCAAAGTC